CCAGACCGGAATCCGGGCTTGATGTGAACGAAGCTTTATGCATACGCGAACACGTGCGTTTTTGGGACAAAACGTGTGTTTGTGAGACGCGTGTGTATTTCTATCGCTGTTCTGATTAATCATTTTTTTAAAAGTTTGATTGAAAGGTTTATTGAAGTGTAAAGGGTGCACTATAAAAATTGATGTTGGTATAAGCCTATCCTCTGACGTAATTATTTTCACAGGTGTGTGTTAAAAATGGCCCCTGTAAAATAGCCACGGTAAAAATGGCCCAATGAAAAAAAAAATTAAATTTTCAAATATTTAAATACTGTAAAATAGCAAGAATTGAATCAATAAATAAAACAATGGCCCCCAATTATAACTTCAATAAGAAAAAAAAATTAAACGCTGTAAAATACCCTCTAGAAAAATTAATAAATCAACATAACCATATGCATATTGAAAAACTAAAGTAACTTTTTTTAAGAATCTATTAATGTCAAATAAGTTGTCATTTATATTATTTTTGCAGGAATAATTAAAATGTAAAATGAAATCAATAAAATAGTCCATAGATTAAAAAAATAAGTAATAAATAACCTGTCGTCATCACAATTATGCTGTACAATTAGTTGCCGCTGTGTTCTGTTAAATATTTGCATCATAGTTTAAGAATCTACTAATGTCAAATAAGTTGCCATTTATATTATTTTTGCAGGAATAATTAAAATGAAAAATGAAATGAATAAAATAGTCCATAGATTAACAAAATAAGTAATAAATAACCTATCGTCACCACAACTATGCTGTTGAATTAGTTGCCGCTGTTTTCTGTTAAATAGTTGTATCATAGTGAATGTATTAATAATGTATTGTTTTAGGTAAACTGTTACTCAAATATTACAGTATTTCATCATCATCCTCCCCACAGTCATCATAAAATGGTTTTGTAGGCAGTTAAAAAAGTAAAACTATGTTTTGGTGTGGTGTGGTTTGAATCACAAGTTTATGTATGGGAAAAGGGTAAAAGGCTTACTTTCTTACAAACGTATACAATACATTTTCTGATTAGAGTTTTACTTCAAAGATGTATTTGTTAATCAAAGATTGTTTTTTGGAAACTGAATAATTAGGAATACATTTAATCATTTAATTCATAAACTTATTTAATTTGTATAGTTGGTTTTCACTCCTTGCCAATTAAATCCAAGTGCCTATTATTGACTCATGGCTCATAGTATAGATAGATATTCTATAGTTATGTAAATATGGCAATTATTCTACGAATTATGGCGTGTTGTGAGGGTAGGGTAATCATGTTATAGGGTATTGCTAAATCCCACAAACTCCAAAACACACTGTAGAAAACCAAACAATAATAATTGTGATTGTCTCACTTGGTGTATCAATAAGAAAATTAAATACATTCATAAGAACCTACTTTTTGGTTGAAATGTTGATTTTGTGAAAAAATACCTGCAAATACACCGCAAACCTCCAAAAACACACCGCGACCATTGAAACCATTTAATTATGATTGTTGAACTCTCTTTTTATCGCTTCCGTGAAACTGGCCACAACTAAATTATTTTAGTATTAAAAAATGCATGATTTATGTTGATTTATTGATTAAATTGTTGAACATTTTTAACATTTAAATGGGAAAAAATGTTATACGTGGATTATTATTTTTATCTATGAATATAGGCCTATGTAATTCTTGTACAAAATATATATACAAATGGCAATTTATTTTATGTTAGATTCTTTTTAAAAACTAAATTATTTCAGTTTTTTAAAAATGCATATAATGATTTTAAGAAATCAGTTTTGATACAGAGTTTTATTATTGAGGGCCATTTTTACCTACCTGTCATCTGGGCCCATTTTTACCGGGGTCATTTTTTACCTACATTCATCTTCCCAATACATGACTGCAAATTGTAGTTAATCTGATGAAATTGTCGTTATTAACAAGAGAAAGTTACATTGATATCTTATTGTCTTTATTTATGTCCTTAGAATGATCAATGCACCATTTGTTTTTATAAATTTATTCATTTATTCATTTGTGCACAATTTATGCCTAGAATACGTAGTTAGTACCAGTATCATTTTTGGAAATCATGTGATAAAATATTTTTTCTTTTGACAGCTGACGGTCTTCCTGGAATTTAACAAGAATATAGTATTAAATTTTTGTTCAAAAATAAGATCTATTTTTTATTTTCTCAAACTCTTGAAATCTATTTAATATCAATAAGTGTGAATGATTTTTAACATTGCTTAGAATTTTCTGAGCCACACGAAATCTAAAATAGATCTTTCAAGATCTTAAGATAGATCAACAACTTATCAATCAGAATACACTTATTTCCCATAAACGTACGTTTTTACGTACGTCATAAACGTACTTGTTTACGTACGGTACGTTTAAGCAAAGATGACAACAGTAAAAGATAGAGCATATCGCGATATATAGTGGAACGCCCATGAGAGCAATTTTTCTTCATCCGTTCGGCGGCGCTATATCTTTGATTGATTGGTTGATTGGTTGGATAACTCTATGGTTCGTTTGTTTTCATTAGTTTCTCCACTCCATGAAATGGTTCGTTTGTTTTCATTAGTTTCTCCACTCCATGAAATAATTCTCCATTTTCGAGAGGGGCCGGATGTTTCTTCAAATTTAATGCAAACTACTTGAAGAGCTCATTCTTCTACTATTTATGTTCTTTGGTTTAAGTTATTATTTTGTGAAAAAATAAATTGTAACAATCTATTACAGATTTCTTTAATTTTGAAAATTATAATGAAATGGGTTTTATGTTTATGCATATGAATATATGGTAATATATAGGTGTCATATTATGGACAAACACTAGAACTTATCATGATGGTTCTCTATCCTTTTATTCAATCATGGCTCATCAACAAGTAGTTCCAACACTATATCACCAATAGGTGGCGCTACTGCAAATGAGTGTATAATCACAACACCACATTCTCCCATAGCCTCGGATAGAACTCAGAAATTTTTTATAACATTAAACAATTTTCCTGTTTAAATTACAAACAAAAACTGGAATCTCTTGATTTTGACTTAATCACAATCAATTCAACTTGTTTCACTAGGTTTGCAAATCTTAAATGTTGCTTGCTTATTAGTTCAATATGAACTCTTTCTCGTTATTGTTTTCTTTTCCATTTTTCATTCTCTTCCCTTTCTTCGGTAATGGAATACAATACTATCAAGCCCACGTCACTCAAGGTATAATCTATTTCCTTTATATCTTCTACTGCTTTCTGAACAAGGCTAACATTTCTCCAATGTTTCAAGTCATTTCTCTGAATTCTTATAAAATTACAGTTTTTAGCCCACTCTCTGAGAGAGAGGGCTTATATGATGATTCTGAGCGAATTTTGAAGTCATTTGTTTTTCTAGCTATCTCCTCCTTCGTTTGTGACGCGATTAGGCCGATCTTGCTATAATATGGAAGATAAGGCGTGGGGAATTTAAAGTATGAAGAGTTTTTGCGAAAATATTGTCGGGAAATATGTGAAAAGTATGTTTTTTTAATCATATTTCTTAACACTACGGTGGATTTCCTATGAAAGCGTGTTCGTAATTGATCAGATTACAAATCGCTTGATTCCACATTGTGTTTATCAACCAATCACGGCCTGGAATGGTAAGCTTTGCGGCTAATAAATGCGTCTGCACGAGTCTAGTTGGCAGCGAAGAATGAGACGTTTTGTGGTGCTTGCAAGGGTGGGTGGTCTCTCCCCTGAGAGATAAAAAATGTACACTACTGTAATGCAGGCTGGCCTAGAGCTAGAGGAAGACGAACTAGGCCTATAGGTTGGCTGGGTACGTACGTGTGTGTAGGCATAGGCCCTAGTCTAGATCAGATACTAACTACAGGAAATGAATGTAGGCTACAAGTTGCTTTTATGTGTATTAAACCACACATTCAAATCAGTCAGTAGCGATGAGTGTATGTACAGCACATTTCGTGTTGCCGCACTGTGCTGTGGTTGATGACGAGGACGTTGCCGTTAGATACATGATTGCAAGGCCCCACATGGAATTTTTGTTCTATTGAGACGGTAGCTTTTCAGCATTGCTCTAGGATGAATTTCCTTTACATTCATGAATTTTTTAGCTTTTCGTACTCTACACTTAGCTATCCGTAGCCAACCACATAGGCCTAGGTACGTATATATATTAGGTCAGATGTTAATTACATAAAATGTAGGCCGACAGTCGTATTTAATGGGGGCGGAGTGTTCAATGGATTACATTCCATTCCAACGATGGTATAACCAGTCAATGGATAGCCCAGTAATGAGATATTTTGTTTAGTTTTCACAGCGTGTTCCATGTACCTCCTCCCTTTATTTAAAATTAAATTATTAAAAGATTTCCTATAATATAATCTAGTAATGTACTAGTATATTATTTAATCTAGTAATGTATATATTTAAAAACATATTGGGGAAGTATTCATACTACTTACAGGGGTATATAT